CCCCCGACCCCCACCCCTGCCGACCCCCGGACCACCCCTGAGCCGGGCAGGAAGGGAAAAGTTGGGTGACCTTGGGGGAGGGGAGAGGAAGGAGTTGCCAGGAGGACATCCCGGGGACCTGACCGAGAATTGGGGTTTAGCAGCCACACGCTCAAAATAATAGTGGGGAGGCCCTGGGCTTCTCCCAGTGAGACCAAAAGGTGAAGCCTAAACGGCCAGTGGGCGCGGAGCCGGGATACTGGCTAGATAACCCCGGGAGGGGCCTGTGCCAGGGGCTTTGAGGAGCACTGGATTTTGAGTAATTATTCATTTTGAAGGGAAGAAGTGAACTGAACGCTGCCCCTGGGCCCAGGGGGCTGGCTTGGCTTATCTTGTGCCAGGAGCTGTAGGACCTGTCCAGGGGTCCCCAGTCCCATCCATCCTCCAGACTGGAGCAGTGTGGGCAAAAATGCTGCTGCTGAGGCATGGGGGTGCTGGCATGGCATTGAGGCAAAAACCAAGCAAACCCACTGCCCATCAGCCAGTTCCGACTCTAGGACAGAGCAGAACCGCCCCCGTGGGTTTCTGAGACTGTAACTCTTTACAGGAGAAAAAGACTCATCTTTCTCCCTAACAGAGGCTGATGGCGCGGAAGTACTGACTGACCTTGCAGGCCGCAGCCCAATGCTGACTACTGGGGAGGTCTCCCACGCTCAGCAAGCTGGCTGCCTAGTCTGCCCTACCTGGAAAGACTGGTGCTGGATGGCTTAAACTCAAGGTTGACATTTCAAAGCTACCCTGCAGAGCCCAGGAAAAAAGGTCTGGCAATCTGCTCTCTTAAAGAGGCCAAGAAAAGGCTATGGGTTTACCTGCACTGAAATAGACTTTGGGTTTTGTTGTTTTAAGCGAATAGAGCTAGAGGGTGTGGTACGTGATCCAAGACAGGGTACATTTAATCTCCTACCCCTGTGCGTCAGCTCCTGTCAGCTCCCTTCATTTATAGGCAGGCAGGCAGAAGCCCAGAAAGGATGGTGTCAGCAGGGAGGGGGATGGGAGCCTGGGCTGATGGAGTGGCATATGTTCCTAAACTTACTTGGCCTCCTGCGCCCTTTCAGAAAAACAATTACTCAGCACCTCTCCCTGGCACAGGTGCAAACAAATCTGTCTTGGAAAAAGTACAGCCAGAATGCTCCTGAGAGGCAGGAGTCTTGGACACATTTTTAGGAGAGACCAGTTCCTGGAGAAGGATATCCTATTGGATAGAGTAGAGGGACAGCAAAAGGGAGAAAGGCCCTCCAGGAGACGGAGGGCCACGGGGACTCAAACACAGGAATCATTGTGAGGATGGCGCAGGACCAAGGACTGTTTTGTTCTCCCGTGCTTACAGGGTCACTGAGTCAGAACTGACTTGCTGGAACCTAACAACCACCACACCACCACTGCCTGGTAATTAAAAGCTTTTGTGCTGTACCCCATCATCCAGGATAAAGTGTAGGTATCTCAGTTTGCAGCCCCCCAGGATCGTTCTGGTGCCCCCCCCCAGGGGGTGGTATCATCTGTCCACTTGGGAAAACCCTGGGTTACTGGGTTTTGTTGGGCCTCTCTTCTTCTGGTTGTGTAGTGGTTATGAGTTGGGCTGAGATCCTCATGATCAGCAATTCAAAACCACCAGCAGCTCCATGGGAGGAAGACGGGGCTTTCTACTCCCCTAAACAGTTACCGTCTCAGAAACCCACAGGGGAGTGGTCTTTATGAGTCAGCATTGACTCGATGGCAGTGAGTTTTAGAGTTT